GTTGCTGCAAAGTGTCGGTTCCTACCCTCCCTGGATGCATCGCTGCAATTATGGCGTAAACATATGACCAACAATGACAATTTCAAATTAATAACAGGACGTTAAGAAGATTCTTCCTCTTCATTATCAGTGGCTAATGTGCGAATACGTGTTGCCCAAACTTGTCGTACACGTTCCATCTCGTCGGCTCGCAAACTCGTAAAATCGGTCTCTTTTTTACCGCCTTGTTGCAGGTTCTGGAAACAAAAATATTACAGCAGAATTTGTCACAGTAGAAACAGCACGTCGCGGCACTGATGCATCGCAGCAACAGTTCAAAATAAGTCTGCCACAGCAAAAAATCATTGCAAACCGCTAAATACATAACAGTAATACTACATCACGTTAGCGGTACAGGGCGAGTAAAAACATAGAGATGAAATGGCACAGTAATGGAAAATCACGGAAACATCCAAAAAGGACAAGGCCTTATTGCTCATCAGAGATGTGCAATGGCAAAAGTCGCTCATCGAAACAACCTAGAAAAATCACATTGCATGCTACAACAGCAAAAAATAGCGACGCGCACCAGAGCAGTCGATGCGATCATGCGTTTTGTGCAATTCCGTCTCCACCGAACGACTGCCTGCTAGTGATTTTCATTGCTTTACACTTTGGCGTGTGCAAAAATAGTTGAAATGTTGCCCGTTCCCCAAGTTGCGGAATTTCCCACTAAAAATCTCACGCACTGGTACGTGAAAGCTGAATTTGAAATCTCAAAGGGTAAATAACCTTCCAAAATTTCAACTGCCTAATTTTCTGACTTTCGAGTAATTTTAGCGACAAAACTTTCATGAGAGACACCGTTTTTGAGACCTCGACATAATTCGGAATCGAATTCGAGTTTGTGGAGCCTCTGCTTAGGTAGGAATCACCCTCCTGAAATTTTCAGCTTCCTAGCTTTTCTGGCTCCCGAAACAATGATTTTTCTCGTCGAAAATTCCACGAGAACGTGGAAGATTTGCGGAATCGTATATGGGCAAGGGATGCTAAGCTAAAATTTCAGCTTTCCAGCTTTTGCAGTTCACGAGATAATAATTTCTCTACCAAAAATTCCACGGGGCTGTACGTGGTACCCAGAAGTACGTGAAGGCTGAGTCCAAATTTGCGGGGTCATATTTTGGTAAAGGCCATCACCCTGAAATTTCAGGATTCCAACTTCCACGATTCCCGAGATAATTTTCCCCACCGAAACTTTCCCGGGGCCGCAAGTGATAATCGGGCGTGCGAGGGGGCTGAATTTAAATTTGCGAGATTGTATGCGGGCGGGGACATTACTGCAAAATTTCAGCTTCCTGACTTTTACAGTTCCTGAGATAATAATTTACACGCCCAAATTTTCACGGCACCGTAGGTAATATCCGAGAGCGTGGGAAAGCTGAATTTGAATATGCGAGATCTACGTAAGCAGCGAATGTTCTCCTAAGATTTCAGCTTCCAAGATCCCGTAGTTCTCGAGATAATAATTTACCCATCAAAAGTTTCACGAGGACGCACGTGATACCCCAGGCACGGAAAGGCTGAACTTAAATTTGATAGGTCGTACGTGCACAGGGAACACATCCATAAAATTTCAGCTTCCTAAATTCTGTGGTTCCCGACGTAATTTACCTGCCAAAAGTTCCACGGGGCCATATATGTTATTCGCGCGCACGGGAAGGCTGAATTTAAACTTTTTGGGTCACACGTGGGCAGGACATATACCCATAAAATTTTAACTTCCTAGCTTCTGTGATTCTCGAGATAATAATTTTCTTCGCCAGAACTTTTAGGGGGCCGTACGTGTTACAGCAGGTACAAGGAGGCCGAATTTAAACTTGCGAGGTCGTACGTGGGCGGGGAATCCCCTAATTTTTCAGCTTCCTAGCTTCTGCAGTTCCCGAAATGAAGTGCGGGACAAAACCTCAGACACACATACAAACACACACATACAGATATAATTCCGTGACAGTATGCGTTTTGTACTGCTGTTACATAGTACAAAACACATTTTAAAATAACTGGCCAACGTACGGGCTGCCCGTGCGAAGATGCATTTTTTGCATAGTTCCCCACAGTTTTGTTGCTACCGGCATCAGTTTTTTCGGCAAATGCTTCTAGCTAAACAAATAAGACTGGCCGCCAGAACTAGCAAGAAACACCCTTAAAATTTCAGCTTTCTAGCTTTCCTGGCTTCTAAGTTAGCAACTTACTGGAAAAAAATTTTCATGGGCCCGCACGTGGGTACTACGCATACCCGACGTCTAGGTTTGAGCTCGTTGAGACTTACTTGGATGGGGAATATCCTCTTAAAACTACAGACTCCTAGCTTTTCAGGTTCTCGAGTTAACCACTTACCCGAAAAAAAACTTTAGTGAGCCCGCGCCTGAGTACCACGCTTACCCGAGGGCTGGGTTTGATCTCAGTAATACCTACTTGGACGGGGAACGTCCCCTTAAAATTTCAGCCTCCCAGCATTTCTGATTTCCGATTTAGCAATTTACCCGTAAAAAACTTTGGCGGGCTCTTACGTGGGTACCACGCGGGTAAGACCGCCCATTTTGGGGATGAGAGCACGTACTTGCATGTAGATTAAGCCCCCAAAGTTTCAGTCCTGTAGCTTTTGTAGGTTTCGAGATGCAAAATCGGTACAGAAGCCCTGCGCACACACAGACACACACAAATACGCACACGCAGACAACCTCTCGTCAATATGCGTTTTCCGCACTGCATAGCTGCAAAAAATGCATAAAAATT